ATGAATCCTTGATAAGGGAGATTTGAGTGATAAACAGACAATCCGTTGATATATAAAGTGTAAAAAAAACTACTGTTTTTTAAAAATATTAATAATAATTTTATGATATTATATTATGACTTTGATAGTCCAGTTAAATTAAGCAGAAGTTTTATTGATTGTTTAATAATGCGGTGAACTTAAGCTTAAGTTTTTTTTGAGCGTTTACTTATTTGTATTGTTTTATTTCTTTATTTCAATTTATTTCACACTGTTGTTGATTTTATTATATTTTTACGATTTTGTTAAAGCTCTGATAAGTCCAGTTATCTGTAGTTTTTTGTCTGTTTGTGTATTAATAATTCAGTGAAGCGAATCTTATGCATTATGCATTTTTGTTAATTGTATTAATAAATCAGTTAATTGATGTAGTTAAAGTAAATAGTTTTTTATATTAGGTTATTTTGATGTCATTTTATTTATGTTGGTTAGTTTAGTGTTAAAAACAATAATACAAAAGAGTGTGCTGCTTTTATTTTGACAGTCTCGATGGAAGAGACGCTGCTTTTACAAAATAAATTCCTCAACATCTTGCCTGCATGTGTACTTGCACAAATGATACCAGAAAGTGCCATGTTATGTTGATTGCATATCAATTGCATAATAAATAGTGAAACTCCTAGTCTTTCGGTGGAGAAACAGGCCTCTTTCCTCCATTATGATGTAAAATGTGAAGCTGCTAATCGTTGACCCCTGGAGGAATTGAAGACCGCAGCCATTATAGGCAGATGCATTACTCTTTCAGCTGGAAGAGGTTTAATTCAGCTCGTCTCCAGGGTCTGTTTTCTGCTGACTGTCTTCATGTCAGTGCATGTGGTTATGTAGACATTCAGGATGACTTAAAATTAAAAATAAAGATGAAGTGTATCTCAAAATAAATGAAAAACTTGTCAGTTTCTCAAAAACAACCATGTAATTCATTGTTGAACTCATAGTATCATATGATGCATTGTGTCTTGTGCACTGTAAAAAAATCTGTTCATTAACAGGTTTCATCTGATTACATTTTTTTTTTTCTGTTTATTGGGTTGTGAATTGCATTATGGCACTTGTATATTTTTATTATTATTGTTATTACTGATTTTTATTTTGTTTTTTATTATACATTTTTATTTTATGTATGTAATTTTATTATTTAAGCACATTTAGAGTGCAGTTTTACAACTCCTGTTTCGCTTGATCACTAATTTTATTAGTATTTAAGTATTCCCCCTTCTCGTTCCTCTTCCATGTTCCTCTTTCCTCATTATTCCAGGCTTCCACCTGATTCCCAGAGTTATTTATCCATTTATTGATTTATTGTTATTGATTTTATTTTTATTTTTATTTTGTTTTTAATTTAATTTAATTTTGTTTCAAATTGTATCTATACTGTAATTTTATTATTATTATTGTTTTATTTTTTATAATAATATTTATTTTTACTTTTGATTTCAAGTTTTATTTATTTCATTTTTATTGATTTATTTTTATTATTTTATTTATTACATTATTATTTTATTTTATATGTAATTTTATTTATTTATTTATTGATTTATTGATTTATTTTATTGATTTTGATTTTTTTGTTTCTAATTAAATATTATTTTGTTTCAAATGAATTTTTTATATTTAATTATTTGTTGCATTTTTATTTCATTATTTTTATTTTGTATTTAACATTTGTTTTATATATAGTGTAATTTTATTTATTTATTTATTTTTATTTTATTGGTGTTGTGAGCACACATAATTAGTGTACACCCTTGCTCACATAAACTCCCAGTTTCATTTAATCACAAATTGTATTATTATTTATATAATCTTCCTTCTCGTTCCTCCTCCATGTTCCTCTTTCCTCATTATTTCAGAGTTCCACCTGGTCCCCCCTCTATTTATTGATTTATTTTTATAATTTTTATTTTTATTTTGTATAAAAAATTATATTTTATTTTATATAAAGTGTAATTTTCATTATTTATTTTTTTTAAATTATTTTATTGTATTTGTATTTTATTTAATTATTTGTTTATTGTTTTTTGTTTTTAATTTAATTTTAAGTTTTATTTTATATATAATGTAATTTTATTTATTTATTTTTTATTTCATTATTTTGTTTTCATTTAATTTTATTTAAAATAATGTAGCTTTATTTGTATTTTATTCTGTTAATTTAATTTTGGTTAAAATTAATTATTTGATATATATTAATTTATTGAAATGTTTTTATTTTATATTTAACATTTATTTTCTATATAAAAATAATTTGATTTATTTAGTTATTTTTATTTTGTATTTAACAATTATTTTAAATATAATGTAGTTTTATTTCATTTTTTTCATTTAATCTTATTTAAAATAAATTATTTTATTTCATTATTTTTATTCTGTTAATTTAATTTAGGTTAATTTATTTAATATTATATGTAATTTTATTTATTGATTTTTTTTAAATATATATTTTTTCTAATTAAATTTAATTTTGTTTCAAATAAATTTTTTGTATGTAATTTATTTAATTTTAATATTTTAATTTGTATTTAACATTTATTTTATATATAATGTTATTTTTTTAATGGTTTTTTATGGTGTTGTGTGCACACATATTTAGAGTGCACCCTTGCACACATAAACTCCAGTTTCATTTAATCACAAATTGTATTATTATTTAGGCAATCCCCCTCTCGTTCCTCATCCATGGTCCTCTTTCCTCATTATTTCAGGGTGTCCTCCATTTATTGATTTATTTTTATTGATTTATTTTTATTTTGTATTTAATTTAATTTTGTTTCAAATTTTACTTTATATAATGTAATTTTCATAATTTTTTTTAATTATAATTTTTATTATATTTATTTTTGTTTGTTTTTTATATTTAATTTCAAGTTGTATTTTATTTGATATGTTATGTAATTTATTTCATTATTTCTATTTAATTAAAATGTATATAATGTAATTTTATTTCGAATTTATTTTATATGTATTTATATTTATTGATCTATAGGTTTTTTGTTTGTTTATTGATTTATTTTTATCGACTTGTTTTTATTTCAATTTTGTTAAATGTGTTTTATATGTAATTTTATTTGTTTGATTATTTTTGATAGTTTTTTTTTTTTGTTGTTTTTAAGTTACTTTTAGTTTTATAAATGTAATATTTATTATTATACAGGGCTCGAAATTGCGACCATTTTGGTCGCATATGCGCCCGAAAATTAATCTATGCGACCTCATAATATATTTGGGCGCATTAGTGCTACTGCAGATACTAGTTGTAGTGCGACCTGTTTTGATTTTTTGTAAAAACGTGTTGAATCGCTCTTCCCTGCCGCTATATTGGTTCATATTAGCTGTCATTCCAACAAGGTATTCCGCTGTCAGATGACAGGGAAGGAGCTTTTATCACCACGGGAAATGCAAACGGCTGAAGAGTAAAAACTTAAAGCACACAGGTTTGCAAACCCCACCTAAAGTTTAGGCGCAGATGAAAGCGATCATGACACATCACGTGGCGAATAATGATCCGCCAGCTGAGATCATTCGAGTATGCGCTTCTTGGAGAAGGCGCCCGAATCTCCATGCGTTGCATTCACTGCGTGTTCAGCGCAAATGTCCGCTAAAAGTCAAATCTAATACTGTACATATCATCGCCAAAGAAGCTCGCCTTTACTAAGTTTACACTGAAACTGCGGCTCATAACAAAGAGCGGTATTGCGCCGATGGTTAGCGCAAGAATCCTGCTCTGCCTGCTCATAAATTGGGTCGGCTGACTCGCCTGCTTTCCACTAACACTGAAAAATGAAGATCATCTCAGACTGAACCTTTCAATTGACACAAACTGAAACCAAAACTTTTAAAGAGTGATAGAACTGAGACTTTACTTACTTTCTTTTGTCTATTCTTTTTTGAGGTGTATATTATTTTTATATTTATTTACTAATTGAATGATTTATTATAATCTTTTGTTTGTTTTGTAGCAGAAATATTATTTATTAAATTGACATGCATATAAAAACAGCAGCACAAAATAAATATTTCTTACTGCAATGCTTCATTTTTGTTTGATGCAAACTATAGAATTATTTTTCATAAAGTAACAGACTTTTTATAGCAGATAACCTACATTCATGCACATTCAAGGCAGTATCATAATGAGAAATGGAATTCATTACTATTATTGTCATTTTTTAATCATCATTAATATTCTATGGCCTAATTATTAGACATTCGTTTTGGAATTATAGCACACAAATATCAATGTCTTCGCAGCATTAGTTAGATAGTTGTTTCTGGTTTTTGTCAGTCCTATTAATGTTGTTTTAAAATACAATAAATCCCTTATAAAACAATTTGCAGCTGTGCTCATTCATTTTTGATGGGTGCTCCTAAATTTTTTCTGGTGCTCCTAAAAAATTTTTGGTGCTCCTAAATATTTGAAGTTGGGAGCACCGGTGCTACCAAGTAAAAAGTTAATTTCGAGCCCTGTTATATATTTTTGATTTTATTATTTTATTTTATTTAATTGTTTTTTAATGTAATTTTATTTAAAGTTGTATTTAATTTTTATAGTTGTATTGTTATTCTGTTTTCAATTTAATTTAATTTAATTTTGTTTTATATGTAATTTTATTTATTTATTTTTTTGTTTTAATGTTATTTTTTTCAAATTAG